TCTTGATCCAGCTTCTCGCCTGTGAACTCATCCCTGGATCCCCTGAATTCTGATTTTTGCAAGGGCAAGTGATCAGATAGATTCAGGCCTGGTGAAAGTTGATTGCACTGAATTCCTTGAACTTGCCTTCTACTTTCCTGCCTCCAGCTTTTGCTGACAGTGTTCCTTCTACCTGGGATGCCCTTTTCCCTTACTCATGGACATTCTAGACCTAACTAGGCCCAGGGTTTGGCCCATTGGCAAAGCTGTGTGTCTAGAATCTTTGCATCCCTCACTATCCAAGTACATGGGAGGAGGCAATACATTTTTTTTTTTTTTTAAAGAATGAAGGTTTGAGGCCCAGCTGGTGTGGCTCAGTGGTTGAGCATCGGCCCATGGACTAAGAGGTCACCGGTTCGATTCCTGATCAGGGCACATGCCCAGGTTGTGGGCCAAATCCCCAGTGGGGGGCATGCAGGAGGCAGCCAATCAATGTTCTCTCACCGATGTTTCTTTTCCTTTTTATCCTCACCCGAGGACATTTTTCGATATTTTGTTCAGATAGAGTGGGAGGGAGAGAGAGAGAGAGAAACATTGACGTGAAAGGGACACATCGAGGGGTCGCCACCCATACGACCCAACCAGGGCTGGGGACAAACTGCAACTGAGGTACGTGCCCTTAGCGGGAACCGAACCCGGGTCTCTCCAGACCACAGGCCAACACTCTAGCTGCTGAGCCAAACCGGCCAGGGCTCATCGGTGTTTTTATCTCTCTCCCTCTCCCTTCCTCTCTCTCTAAAATCAATAAATAAAAAGAAAAAAAAAGGAAAGGAGGGTTGAGAAGATGGGACAAAGGAAGTAAGAGAGATGGGAGAAAGGAAGATGGGAAGGATTCGGCATTTTGGGGCGGGCAAGGCCCAAAGAGATCAGCTGGTGCCTTTTTTTTTTTTTTTTAAATCAGTGAGGAAGGGGACCCCGAGTGAGGCCTCCCAGTAGGTCATTGCTTGACCATGAATTATTATTATTATTTTTTTTGGTACGTGCCCCTAACAGGAACCGAACCTAGGACTCTCTGGTCCATAGGCCGATGCTCCAACTGCTGAGCCAAACCAGCCAGGGCGAATTCTTTTTTTTTTAATCCTCACCCGAGGATATTTTTCTATTTATCTTCAGACAAAGTGGGAGGGAGAGAGAAGGAGAGAAAGGGAGAGAGAGAGAGAAACATTCATGTGAGAGGGACACATCGACTGGTTGCCTCCGGCACAAGCCCGACCAGGGCCGAGGACTAACTGCAACTTAGGTACATGCCCTTGGTCGGAATCGATCCCAAGATGCATTGGTCTGCGGGCTGACACTCTGCCGCTAAGCCAAATTGGCCAGGGTTCAACCATGAATTCCTTTCTTTTTTTTCTAAATGCTTTTATTGATTTTTTAGAAAGACGAAGGGATAGAGAGAAACATTGATGTGCGAGAGAAACATCGATTGGCTGCCTCCTGCACAACCCTACTGGTGATCAAGCCCACAACCCGGGCATGTGCCCTGACCAGGACCTCTCAGTCCATGGGAAGATGCTCAAGCCACTGAGCCACACCTGCCGGGCAGACCATGAGTTCTATGAAAGCCAAGGCCCATGTCTGTCAAGTTCACCACTGAATTCCCAGTGCCCTGCATAGGCCTGGTGGAACTATACTGTCTGTGCTAGGGACAAAGCCTTGACTAGAACCCAGAGGCCTGACACCTGGTCACAATGTCCAAGGCTTCTCATTGCCATGGAACAGAGTCATCACCCTGGTCCCTGCCACTCTCTACTCCTTTATTTCAGGTTTCTTTTTCTCCCAGGCATACTCAATCTTCCAATCTTTGCATAAGCTGTCTCTCTCTTCCTAGATTGTTTTTTTCTCCATCTTTACCCATTATTTTCTGGTGATGCTATCAATCACCTGGCTGTGTTTACACCTCAAGGGAAGGCTTACTTATGGCCCAGCCTGGTCAATTACAGTCTCCCATCCTCTTGACAATGGTAATTGGCTCAAGGAGTGTACACATAATTTAAGAAGGGCCAATCACTGCCCTTGTATGGGTAGGTATATGGAGACTGTGAGAAAACTGTTCCTTCTTGGGATTTGTAAACTGCTTGCTGCCATGTTGCCTGTCCAGGAGATAATCAGGGGTGAGGGAGAAACAATGGGGCAGTCCTGGTGGGGTTGAATCTTTGGTTCCAGCCCAATAGATAGTCTGGTTCCTACTGTTCTTCCTCTAATCACTAGCTTATATCCTTCCCAGCCACTTGAAACAATCAATTCCATTTTTGCTTACGCTAACTAACTTCATTTACTTTCAATAGACGAGAACCTATCAATACAGAGCCTGATAATTTTTTCTAAAAAGACAATAGTCTAGCCCGGCCAGTGTGGCTCAGTGGTTGAGCGTCAACCCATGCACCAAGAGGTCACCGGTTCGATTCCTGGTCAGGGCACATGCCCAGATTGTGGACCTGATCCCCAGTGCGGGGCATGCAAGAGGTGGCCAGTCAGTGGTCTCCTCAGTTTCTATCTCTCTCTCCCTCCCCTGTCCTCTCTAAAATCAATAAAGAAGCCAGGCCAGTGTGGGTCAGTGGTTGAGCATCGACCCATGCACCAGGAGGTCGCCGGTTCGATTCCCAGTCAGGGCACATGCCCAGGTTGTGGGCCTGATCCCCAGTGGGGGGCATGCAGGAGGCGGCCAACTGATGTTCTCTCTCATTGATGTTTCTATTTCTCTCTCCCTCTCCCTTCTCTCTAAAATCAATAAAGAAAAAAAAAATGACAACACTCTCCTATGAAGGGTGAGTACTGTTTACAAGGAATGAGGTCCTTTTTCTGCAGAGCAGCAGCATGGCTTGCTAGGCAGAATAGGGCCTACATTAAGTTTGGAGGGGATGCAAACAGCTGATTATTCCACTTAATAGAACTGAGAGCTCCTGCAGGGTTCTCCAGGGGTAAGGGTAGAGGAGGAGTGAAGAGGGAGAGAGAAGCCAGCACTGGTGCCTGAAGCCAGGGATTAGTTGGTGAAGGGGAAAGCTAGATGTGGAGAGGTTTCAAGAGCCAGGATGTTTTAAAGGGCCAGGGGCTGAGCGGTCATCTAAATTAAAGTCCTCACTTCGAAGTAGACCTTCTGGCAAACATGTTTTCCTTCAATAACCCTCCTGCATTTGGCACTGCCTGGGAGAGTGTTTTGTGTGGAAGTCAAGAAGTCACCTTTCAGGTGACCATGGGATTCTGAAGTGTTCTAGGGACATCTTGGCCTTCTACTCTATGTGGATTAGGGGAGGGAAATTGAGTCAATTGTACTTAGATCTCAAGGGACAGGAGACTGAACCTGATCTTTGGCTTCGTATATTTTTTTCCCAATATTAAAATAATACAAGTTCATTAAAGCAAAATCGGAAAATACTTGTTCAGCTTAAATATTACACTTCCAGGCAACTTTGTGTCATGGGCTCTTCCTGTGGATGGCTTTTAGAGCATTAAGTCTGAGGACACAGGAGTGTGCTAGTAATACCTATGAGTTGGGAGATCCTGAACAAGGCTCTCAAGGCTCAGTTCCTTCACCTGTATAATAGGAATAAAACCAGTTTTTCAAACAACTTCCCTAATCTTTTTCTGCTCCCACCAGTTCTAGGATAAACCAAAGGTCAAGATGGACAGAGCAGCTCCTAAATTCTTTCAACAAAACTAGAGGTGTCCAGGGTCAAAAAACAGCAGGTAGGAAAACCTAATTCCATCTTGGGAGAATTTAGTGAGCCTGGTGTGGGTGGTCATTCTCTTTATTCTAAATTGTCTGCCGATCCCATCTAATCCCGACCTTCTCTAGGCCCGTGGAGTTCAGCACAATAGCGTACTTTTTACTGGAGACTAAAGAGAAGGATGGGGGAAGAGAGGATGAGGGAAAAGGGTCCAAGAGGAAAGGCTGCCAGAAAAGGGGTCACTGACTAGCAAGAAAAAGGGGAGGGGTGGGCACCAGGCCAGAAGAAAGTGGACCGGGAAGGGTGAGCCCCTGGGGCTGGGAAGATCCAGGAGGAGGAGGCCGCCTAAGGAAAGGTACTATGGGATGGGGCAGAACAGTGTGTGGGCCCCATCCGACGGGACAGACATACACGGCCAGCCCGGAGTGGAAAGAACAGTTTATGCTGTGCTTTATTAAAATGTGCATCATTCTTTTATTTTAAAATGTGCATCATTGTCTCATGCTCGGCGCGCGCGACGTGCTCGGGCGCACTCAGGTGGCGCGGGCCCGGGGGCTCCCGCCCATAGCCAGGTAGACGTCGATGGGCACGTGCAGCAGCGTCAGGCAGTGGCAGCCCGGGCAGCGTCGAAGCGGCCTATGGAAAGCAGTGCGACAGAGGGCGCTGTTGGGGATTCATCTGCGGAGTGCACTTGCGGTCTCCGAGGTTTGGGCGTGGATGTGGGACCCTTACTTGGGCGGGGGTAGGGTAGGGTTGCTGTCTGGGGATGGAAAGTGGGACGCGGGGAGCACGCGAGCGGCCGCAGGGGAGAGCGCGGGCTCACCTGACCGGATTGTGCTCCGTAGCTACCGGCTCTGGGTTGTCCTGGGACTCGGGGGTGGCGGCAAGACCAGGGGAGTCTCCGGCCTCAATGGGGAATCGCCGACCCTGAGGGGGCTCCTGGGCACTCATGTCCAGGCCCCGGGTCGCTCTGCGCAGGGAGGGGCAGTCAGGCCGCTCCCGGACCGCCCAGGGACCGCCGGGCACTCCCTCCCCGCGTCTGCCCCCTGGGCAGTTGCTCACCTGCTGGAGGCCGTGGCCGGTCCCAGGCTGGAAGCAGCTGCCTGAGCCCTGGCCGCTGGAGGACGCTCCGGTCCAAGCGGAGCCGGGCAGGTGTCTGCAGCGCGTGCAGACCCGGGAGTCAAAGGGGAGGGCTGCATTGTGACCCGAGCCCCAGCGTGCTGACCTCACAGAACCCGTTCCTCCCACCGGGGAACCCTCCCACCACCACCCGCCGCCGTGAGAAGGAAGCCGGTGGGCTCCTGCCTTGGAGCCTTGAGACTGGATGGCACAGCCCCCCAGCAGCCCAATGGGGGCGCAGGAGGTGACAGCAACCAGTAGGGAGGCAGCGTCCACGAAAAGGAGCCTGGCATTCTGGGCAGCGGAAAGCCCCTCCACACCAGGCTGAACTGCAACTCACTGCCTGGCTCCGAGTGTGGGGGTGCAGCGAGGATTAACCGGTGCTGGGTTTGGTGGTGGTGCTGGTGAGGGCAGGTAGGGACACTACCCATTTTGGCCATGGGTCACACAACATTTACATCACAATTGGGCTGAAGTTTTAAAATGTCTGGCCCTCTCCCTCCCCACCACCTGCGGCTGAATGTTCTAGCGCTGGGGGCTGCTGTGGATGAAGTCCTTGGGGAGAAAAGGACCCGGCCAAGGGCTATGGTGGAGTAGAGCTGCCTCACAGAGGCAGCATGAGCTGAGAGGGTGATAGGAAGGAGACGCTAGACAGCATGGAAGACTTTCTGCTCTCCAATGGGTACCAGCTGGGCAAGACCATTGGGGAAGGGACCTACTCAAAAGTCAAAGAAGCTTTTTCCAAAAAACACCAAAGAAAGGTGGCAATTAAAATTATAGACAAGATGGGAGGGCCAGAAGGTGAGCTGGGAACCCTTTGGAGGAAGAGAGGGCTGGCTGAGGTGGGTGGGGCCTTCCTCCAGTCCAAAGGAGCATTCCTCCTCCTCTTTAGTCTAAAACCAAGGAAAACAAGAAATTGTGGTTCTGGAGTAGGTCAGTGGGGAACAGAGATGCTGGGAGTCCAGGAACATCACACCCTCCAATATCCAAGATTAAAGTGGCAGGTGGTGAAGGGTCCTCAGGGCAGAACCCAAGTCCATCAGGGGAACAGAGATTGGCAGACAGGCCACAATCAGGCTACGAGAGGGCAGGAGCTGGTGTGGAGGCAGGCAGTGATGGGGAAAAGACTGGGTTCATAGAAAGAACTGTGGGTCAGGAGGCAGGGGTGAGAAGAACTGGTTCACCACACCGTAGGCAAATCAGGCCTCATAATGAGATTCAGTGGCTTTGTCTAACAGTTCTCCAAGCACTTGGATATCCATGATCTCACAGGCTGCTCACAAGTCCCTGAGGTTGGCAGGGAGTAGTTCCTTTGAATAGTATATTGACTACAATAATAAGATGAATGTTCTTTGCACTGTTCAAGCATCTAGACATTTAAGACTGTCAAAGGAAACTTGACATTGTGATTAGAAGGCACCGGCCCCAGACACGGGTAGGCAGGCAGACACATGTTGGAAGGTAGGAGACAGGAGGAAGGGAGTTAGGCCCTTCTGGATTGATACCCTATCTCCTTTCCCCTTGTTTCCTCAGAATTTATCCAGAGATTCCTGCCTCGGGAGCTCCAGATTGTCCGTACGCTGGACCACAAGAACATCATCCAGGTGTATGAGATGCTGGAGTCTGCTGATGGTAAAATCTACCTGGTGATGGAGCTGGCTGAGGGAGGGGATGTCTTTGACTGCGTGCTGAATGGAGGACCACTACCTGAGAGCCGAGCGAAGGCTCTCTTCCGTCAGATGGTTGAGGCCATCTGCTACTGCCATGGCTGTGGCGTGGCCCACCGGGATCTCAAGTGTGAGAACGCCTTGTTGCAGGGCTTCAACCTGAAGCTGACTGACTTTGGCTTTGCCAAAGTGTTGCCCAAGTCACGCCGGGAGCTGAGCCAAACGTTCTGTGGCAGCACGGCCTATGCCGCCCCCGAGGTGCTGCAGGGTATTCCCCATGACAGCAAGAAGGGTGACGTCTGGAGCATGGGTGTCGTCCTCTACGTCATGCTCTGTGCCAGCCTACCTTTTGATGATACAGACATTCCCAAGATGCTGTGGCAGCAGCAGAAGGGGGTGTCCTTCCCCACTCACCTGGGCATCTCGGCTGAATGCCAGGACTTGCTCAAGCAGCTCCTGGAACCAGACATGATCCTCCGGCCTTCAATCGAAGAAGTTAGTTGGCATCCATGGCTAGCAAGCACTTCATAAAAGCAATGGCAAGTCCTCCCCAATAAAGCAGGGGGAGAAAGCAAACCCAAAAACCTGCTTCTAAAATGGTGATATATATTTTACACTTTAAGTTTACTTATCCTAAAACTTACCTACACCCTCCCCAGCCTTACTTCTTTCCCTTTAAAGATCTTCATGGAACCAGAGGGCCTCATTCAGACTTCCCTTTTATTATGACTGACAAGTGATTTTCATACGGGTATTTAAGGAAAGTTAATTAAATTAGACCCCAGAATCATACATATACAGGGGGAGGAGAGGAGAACAAAAACCAAGAGCAATTGGAGCCACTGTTGTCGCAACTTCCTTTCCAAATAAAAGCAGAAGCACTGGGAATACAGAATCGGTCTCTTGACTTCTAGTCTTGGTGAGAAGCTTCGTGGGGGCCCTGTCCCTTCCTCATCCCAAAGGCCAAGCTGAGTCTGGGATGAGGACAAGGGACTTCCTCAGGACACAGGCTACCCCCCACCCTTCCCCACTCCTTGGCTCCAAGCAGGAAGCCACTCTGCACATTGTGTGTGTCCTGCCCCAGCTGCTGTGGGGGACAAGAATGGACCCCCAGACACCTTCCAGATTCTGTTGAATCTCTTTAATGCTGTTAACGGCAAGTCTGGAAAAGGTTCAGGACAAAATTCTTTTTTCCTTCTTTTTTAATTACAAAACTAACAGCTGTTAGAATCTCCCCCCCCTTCCCCTTTTTTTTCTTTTCCCGGCTACAAAATACTCTGGGGAGATGCATTATAATTTAAAATATATAATATTGCACAAACAACCAAAAGATTAAACTAAAGAAATAATTACAAAGAGAAAACTCCCATCCCATCAAAAAGATTCAGCATTCTCTCCATCCCACCCCCTCATTGAAGGTTTGAAGTAGAAGTGATCACCACTCTCTTGGCATCCCTGCCACAATCCCATTAAATCACTGGTGAACATACCAGACTATGTACTAGAATACCAGAGCAGCATCAGGCAGCACCAGGGTCTCCAGGGATTCCTGCAGCCCCTCATTCCCCCAAGAGAGGTGGAACTTTACTAGGGTGGATGGAGGGTAAGAGCCACAAAGACTGGGCCTGCCTTCAGGAAGAGCTATTTCAGAAGCCTGATAAGAGTCTCAAGAATTCAACCCAGCATATCCCTTCAAGAAGCAGAAGGGTTGAGGCAGAGAAATTGGGCTTACCAGAGTTGTAAGTACTCAGCTTTGATCACTGCTCTGTACCGCTGTGAGCTGGCTTGTGTCCTAAGATCCAAGTGAGTCGAGGTGGGTAGCTGGCTGGACAGGGTACCCCGCCAGGCAATGCACAGAAGGGCCTGAAGTGGCCCCTCCCTTCTTGGGGAGGGGAAGAAAAGCAAGAGCAGAGTCTTGCAGGTGGCACAGCTGGGCTAAGGACTTGGGTGCATCCGACAAGAAGCCCTGGGAAAGGCATTGGGGTCATACCAGCCTGGGCTGGATGAAAGGAGGTGGGAACTCAGGGTTTGGTCTCTAGATTCTGAACCACAGGAACCTTTCCAGGAACGGAAAATGCCCAGGAAAGGGAGACTCCCAAGAGAGGCTAATTTCCCAGAGTCAAATGTCTCTTACCCACTGGAATAGGAATATGTGTTTGCCATCCCTGTCTGGCCAAGGGCAGGTGGCACAGCCTTCCTTGCCTGCTTATGGGTGGACAGTGTGTTAACTTGGCTTCTTCCAAGAGACTGGTGGTTTAACTTCTGTCCACACAGGCAGAAGGAATGGAGCTATCCCTTGGGAATTCCCAGCAAGAATCCCCAGGAACAGTGGGTATTCAGCAGAGAAATGTAGGCTCTTCTGGTGAGGGGATAGGTTTCCTCCCCTGTAGGTCATCCTATGGTTGGCACAAGTCAGAGTTCTTGGATTGGATTTTGTAAGCCCCTTCCCAGATGTGAGCAGAGGCCCACAGGGCCAACAAGGAGCAACCAGAATCTATGCCTAGAGCTCTGGTTGAAAGAGGCCATTCAGGGGACATTCTTGGTCAGTATCTTCCAGGGCTGGGCTGAGACGATCGAGGGAAATGGGAGGTGCTGTGGGAGGGGGAGCTGCTTGCTCCGGCTCCCCTCATTCCCAGTCCTCCCACTCTACATCTTCCAGCTGCAAATGGGAGGGGATAATGGAGAGCACAAACACCAATTTACTCCTGTAAGTCAAGCCCAGACCCAAGCTCCCCTTGCTGCCTTCCTTTTCAGATAGTCCTCCACCAACCCCCACCACCACCCTGGGTCATATACACTGCCCATGAGAGTGAACCACTAGTCTTTTTTTTTTTGGTACGTGCCCCTAATGGGAATCGAACTCGGGACTCTCTGGTCCACAGGCTGACGCTCCCAACCACTGAGCCAAACTAGCCAGGGCTGAACCACTAGTCTTAAGGAATGTGTCCTGGGAGCAGAGTTGCCCTCTGCCTAAGGGGTGGGTCTGCTGCTCTGATCATTCCAGACTCAAGGGAAATGCTTCCACCAACCAACACTGGACTCCATAAGGGGGACGCCCTGCCCACAAGAACCAAGTCACCCAATTCCTTAAGGAAAACTTGTCTCCTGCTGAGCAGCTAAGAAGGTGGCTCAGAGAGGCCGAGAGCTTGAGAGTGGCACTATAATTAGAAGCAGCGTGGCCCTGGACTACAGGTGCTCACAGGGTCTTCACTAGGGGCTCTAGCACCCTAGTCCCCAGCTGAAGTCTTCCTAGGTAACTTGCCCTTGGCCTGCTGCCTGCTGATCCCTACGACGGGTTACAGAACAACTCTGCTCAGGGAGACTATATGCCAGGTTTTAAAAGAGGCTGCAAAGACACAAAAGCTACAAAGCTCCCGTAGCATGACAGGGCACCAGGGCCTTCTCTGCCTTAGGTATAATGAGGTCACAGGTGCAAAATGCTCTTGCACAGGTCACTACCTCCTCTCAGGCTTCAGTTTCCTAATATGAAAAATGAGGCCCTCCCTGTGCCCTAATCTGTTCACTTCTTTAGCAGGTGCATGAGCTACATGATGGACCGTGGAAGTAACACTGACTTGACTCATATGTCTGAGCTGGAACCTCAGTCCTATCACTTATTAGCTATGAGAGCTTTCCCCCCAGCCTCTCATTCAAAATGACCTATTTTTTTTTTTGAGAGGTAGTGAAGAGAGTATTAGGCCTCTGAGCTCATAACTGGACTGGGTCTTGTGATGGTTTTGGTAACATCTACTAGTGCTCCCATGTCCCAGGTACTATGCCTACTGTAGCATCATGCATTGTCTATCACAGCTTATAAGCTTATAAGAATCAATTCCATATTTTAGGTTAAGTGATTAGCCCTAGATCACATTGTCTTTGTCCAAGGCTAGAAATCTGCTCAGGTTCCACAATGGGGACGAGTCAGGAGATCTGGGTTTAGCATCTGTATTTTTTAATAGCTCCTTGGTAATTTTGGCACAGTGCTAATGTCATGAACCCTCACACTCATCCATCCTGGAACTAAGGGAAAGCAGAGCCTGCCAATGACAACTGCTTAAGGCCTAAGAGGGAGATCTAGCTCTTTCCTGCAGCCTGTCACCTCAGATAGGCACAGGGATCCACCCTGAGGGGACAGTTGGGCTTGGCGGGGAGAGGCCTCAGACACTGGGATCACTGGGCTTGCTTCCCTGTGGCCAACCAGGTCCACTTACCTCACCCGAGGCATCCACTTTGGAAAGTGCCATCTGCACTTCTTCTTCAGTCATGTCCAAGTCAAAGTCCTTCTCCCAGTCCTCACTGATGTCCGTGCTCGAGCCTAGAACCATAATCCACAGTGTCAAAGTCAGGAAGGGGTATATGAGGAAGTCATAGCTGAGGATAATGCACTCTTTAAAAGGACCTGACAAATATACACCAAAGGTCTTTGTCTTCTGAAGTCATTCTAACTCACTTCTCGCTTTTAGGAACCTAAGGAAAAATCCTAGATTCAGTAAAAATTTTAGCAAAAAAATGTTCACTGTAATGCTGCTATAGAGATGAAAACTTAAAAAAACACCTGAAAATCCACAGAAAAGGGAATTACAAACATAAATAAATGGTGTAGTGACGTGATGGAACATTATATATGGCTTTTAAAGGTTAGGCTGTAGAACATTTATATACATGACAAATAGTATTAAACTATGTTATTAAGTGAGAAAAAGCAAGTTACTGAATAGTGGAGAAGCATTTTGATTCAGAGGTTCCCTGGAAGCCACAAAAGATCTTCCAGAAGAAATAAACAATGAACCTTTTCCTCTTTACTCACTCTGTTCTACCTACACTGTTCTTGCCACTCCTGAAACACACCAGGCATAGTCCCACCTTAGGGCCTTTGCAGACTGTTCCCTGTATCTGGAACTCTCAGATATCCATAGACCAACCTCCTTACTTCCTACACACCTTTGCTCAAATCTCACCATCTAAGTATGGCCTATCCTAACCATCCTTTTAAACTTCAACCTATCCCCTCACTCTGTTCTAGTTGTTCTTTTTTCCATTGTTTTATCGCTTTCAGCATTATCATCAGATTTAATATGCTTACTGTCTAATAATACAGGAACTAGAATGACAATAGGCAGGATATTTGTTTTCTTTTCCTTCTTTCTTTTTTTTTAAATTCTCACCCGAGGACATTTTTGCATTTATCTTCAGATAGAGCGGGAGGGAGTGTGGAGAGAGAGAGAGAGAGAGAGAGAGAGAGAGAGAGAGAGAGAGAGAGGAACATCGATGTGAGAGAGACACATCAACTGGTTGCCACTCGCACAACCCCAACCGGGGCCAGGGACGAACTGCAACCGAGGTATATGTCTTTAGCGGAAACCGAACCCAGGGCTCTCTGGTCCGTGGGCCCACACTCTAACTGCTGAGCCAAATTGGCCAGGGCTTGTTTTTTCTTATACATGCCAAGTGACTGGAACACAGAGCTTGTACTCATAAATAGTCATGGATTCTTTCTAAACCAGGGACTGGCAAACCATGGCCCATGGACC